TGGTATGGTGTAATGGTTAGAGTTTTGGACTCAGGAGATTGGGGTCCTAGCCTCCAAGGCCATGAAACTTTGGGGCAATCACTGATTCTCAGCCTATTTCCCCTTACAGGGTTGTTATGAAGATAAAATACAGAGGTGGAGGAGGAGGAATATGCAAGAGAAATAAATGGGTAGAAATAAAGGAACAAGTCGCCTCTTGGTCCAGGAATTCATCCTCTGGATCTGAGCCAAACAAGCCTTCTCGCAGAATGACTCAGTTCTGTGTTCCCCTGAGAGTTCTTTTTGAGCAACCGATTTTGTGTGTGTGTGGGGGGGGGGGGGGGCAGTCGTGCCTATTGTTGGGCACAGAAACCTTGGCCAATGTAATGCGAATCGTCTGGAAGTCCTTCTGGTCTCCGTCTGCACATGTCCTGAGAAAGTGAAGGAGGACCAGTCTCTCCTCCTCTCAAAACACTAGGGGCCATAGGAAATCCTATGAAGCTGACTGGTGGGAGATTAAGGACAGATCAAAGGAAATGGTTCTTCACATAGTGCATAAACTACAGAATTCACTCCCACAAGATGTAGTCAGTTCAGGTGGCTTTAAACAGAGACTGGACCAATTCATGGAGGAGAAGGCTTTCCATGGCTACTCGTCTTGATGGCTCTATGCTGCCTCCATCATCGAAAACAGTATAACTATGCACAGCAGTTGCTGGGGAACATGGGTGGGAGAGTACTGCTGTTTCTGGATTTCCCATGGGCAACTGGTTGGCCACTATGTGAACAGAATGTGGGATGAGGTGGACTCTTGCTCTGACCCGGCATGGTTCTGCCTATGTTCTTAGACACATTGGGCCAAATTCCCCAGAGTTTCAGGTGAGGACTTTTGCTAGACCCATCCAGTCCTACAGTGATTGGACCTTGCATCTTCAGGATGCAAACATGCCTTTGCCCACTGAGCCAGGACGGATAACCCCACACATCCTGGGAGTCTTTGATCCCGAAGGGCAGTTTGAACTTGCCCGAACACATCTTCGTGGCCATTCCAAAGAGAACAATGCACTCTTGGGCCTGTTTTATGCAGAAGGGAGTCCCCTGGAATTCAGAGGCTTACTGCCTAGTGAAGCCACAGGGAAAAAACCGGGACATTCCAATAGCCATTCATTCCTTCATTCATTCATTCATTCATTCATTCATCCTTTCTTTCCTTGCTTTTCTTTCTGCAATGCCCCGTCTCTGAGTTTTTAACAATGCAGCAAATGGCTGCTCGTTGTTGTCGTTGTTGTTGTTTAGCTTCAGCATCCCCTCTGCTCTAGTTACAGCTCAGCTGCTTTTTCAAACTCTGTGCGCTCCCGGGGAAAATTGTGTTTTTTTAAATGCCATCTTTCACTCACTTAAACCAGCGGGGGAAAGTAGAACGGACCAAAACCCAAAACTGGTCTATTGGGAAACCGGCGGAGGGGGGGGTGTGCTTTTCCTCCCCCCGTTTTGTTCCTTATCTTCTTCAGGCTCTGATCGGGGGGGGGGGCGACGCCCCCAAGTAGAATAGATCTATACATTCTCCCACTAAGTAGAGTATATATTTATATTTTAGAGCGGCTGTGCGTATGAATTGGCTGCTGGGGTGGAGGGGGCGAATGCCCCCTCGTCCCCCTCCCTGGATCCGGGCCTTTTTTTCAGTGTATGGGCGTGTGTGTGTGTGTGTGTGTGGGGGGTTCAGTGCAGCGTTTGAACTGCTGCAAATTCCTGCCCCACTCGTGAGATTTAGTGATCGGGGGCTGGGGGGGGGGGGGGGCGGGCCGCGCTGTTTGCGCAGCGAGGGGCGCGCAGTGCACACGAGGGGGAATGCCTGATGCAGCCGGGCGGGGGCTGGCGGGGCGGGGCGGGGAGGGGAGGGGAGGGGGAGGGGCGATAATGGCCCAGCGGCAGGGAAGGGGTAGGCTGAGTCACGTGGCGCCTGCGCTGCAGGACCGGCTGCTTACTTGTCCAGAAGTTTTGCTCCGGCTCCCCCAAACCTCCGCCGCCACCTCTCCTTGGAGGGGGTGACCCAGAGCACCCAGAAGCAGGAAAAGGGGGCTGGGGGGGGGACACCTGCGGGGAGATCGCGCCTGCCACCCCTATTCCTCCTCCCCTAAAATACCATCACCGCCTCCGTGCAGGCTTCGACCCAAAGATCTGTGCGTTGGAGAGGGGTTTTTTTTGGGGGGGGGGGCGGTTGGGGGAGAACCTGGAAGCCCCACCGGCTGCGTGCTCGCATGCGGGGCAGGAAAGCAAGCAAACCTTGAGCTAGTAGTCAAGATTCCGGCTTCGGGACAGACGCACGGAGAAGTGAGAGCTTCGGAACTTCGGTTTTCACCTGCCTGGTTTCTTCTCCTTGCATTTTTGTTTTCCTAAAAAAACCGCTTCGCTCTCACGAAGCCCTAAACAAGGGCGCTATCGCAGCGAAGACGAGGTAAGTCCATAAAGAAATCGGGATGGGGCAAAGGGACTTAAGGGCCGATCCCCAAAGCAGGAGCGCTTGCCCCGGGGTAACGCCCCCCCCCCCCCCAGAGGCAGGAGATTTACTTCCAAGTAGGCGCGCGTAGTTTTGGGGAGAAGCCGATGGTCGCCGAGTGGTCTTATGGATACCTAAAGATACCCGCTGTTGGGTACCAAATGGCAGAAAAGTAGCTTCCCCTTGCTAAGTTAGGGGATGCTGCTCTGTCGACGCCTCCTCCTCATCTCTCCTCCTTTTCCCTGAGCGTTGAGATTCGCCGGATTGGGAGCCCATACTTTGAACGGGATCCCCCTGTTCATTCATGGGATTTGACCGGGACGAGTCCTATAGCAATCTCCCCTCCTCATTTTAGAATCCGAATCAATGGTTGACAGAGGATCCTGGCTCTGGGGCTGTACTGGCCTCCCTCGCCCTTTACTCCTTCACCGGAATGGCATTTCTGGCACAGGATGGGACAAGGCAAAGTCCAGTGCTCTTCCCGGCAACTTGGCTACACTTCTGCCTTCTTGCCCACTCACCTTGTCCGGCTTGCTTGGCTCACTCAGGCCCATGGACCAGCTGGCTTTTTCTTTTTCTTTTTCTTTTGCGGAGCTGCCCATCAAGGCGCACTCTTGGGAATGTTTTGCATTCATCTCGGAGGGCAAAGATGTCTTCCGCCCGGTCAGGCCACCGATCCATTTGGCCCAGTATCTCCAGGATTCTCCAACTGGTGCCCTCCAGATGTACTGGTCCATAACCTCAGCTTGGCTGAGGCTGAATGGGAATGATAGGGGTTATTGTCAGCACATCTGGAGGTTGGGGAAGGCTGGCTTAACAGACTGGCGGTGGCTCGCCAGGCTTTCGGACAGGGATCCTTCCCTCCTTTAGCCAGTAGCTGCCAGGGGTGGCACCCGGACCTTTTCCATGGCCAGCATGTGCTTGCCAGCAAGTTACAGTCCTGTGGTGAGAATAAGGTACTCTGCACATGCCCAGTGACCCTCATAATCATGTAGCGCCCTCACGACATCTCATGGGAATGAATTCCTTCATTCGCCTGTTCCCAGTGCCCCGAGAGGTACTGACAGCTGTCCATTTGGGGGGCTTTAAGAGGGGATTGGACAGAGTTGTGCAGAAGAAGCTATCCGTGGCTCCTGGTTCTGATGGCTGGGTGCCTCTTCCAGCATCAGAGACAGTATGCCCATGTGCCCCAGTTGCTGGGGAACATGGGTGGGAGGGTGCTGTTCTTGTGGGTCAGTGCAGGCCGCTGGTTATCCATTGTGTGTATAGGATGCTGGACTAGACAGATCCTTGGTCTGATTAAGCAGCATTCTTCTTATGTTCTAAGTGTCGAAAGTGAGTCTTAGATATGGTTGCAAAGTCACAACCTGGAGATTCCCAGTGTGGTTGTATTTGGCAGCAAATTGCACCAGCTCTTATCTCTCCGTCCTTCTTTTTTCATATGACTTCCACTTTCTGTTCAGTGTCCCTAGGGTTGGACAGACATATGTTATGCCACAACAATCCTGTGAGGTAGGCCAGAATGGAAGCTTCAGAAATTCCAGGCATGTCTGAGTCCTGCCCCTCCATGTGTCTGCAATACAATTGGAACCAGGGACTTCTGGCTCATAGTTTTTGCTCCTGAAAATTAAACCATGCATTCAGCCTGCCTTCTGCAAGTGCTGGGTGACTTCTTTGACCAGGTTGCGATTTTCTGGTTCTTAATCCAGATTACTTAGCAGAGAACTCGTTGGCACCTTTTGGAATGCATGCTCTAAATGTTTTGGAGGGTTACAAAAAAAAAAAAAAGTTAAGACATTCACAAATGCCATGTTAGAAAGTCTTTCAGGTCTGTGTTGTGACATGCTTACTCTGATGGCTAACAGAAGCATGCTTAACTGGTGCACAAAGAAAAGAACGACATTTGTACAAGTTTCACAATATAATGCTGTTAACACAGATTTTTCAACACAGGAGTTACTTATTTCCATGCAGCAGTGTCTGCTTTGGCACAGCTGTTTCCACCCATGCAAAGAGACACCCATACAAATTCCTTCTGGGTGGTGTTCAAAGCTGTGTATGTTTCCATTATTTGTAAGAGGCCACCCTTTATTTAAATGCAATCTATTTCCTTGCAAATGCAGCGCTTGTATCCCTAGAACCTCTCCAGACCGCAGCTCCTTTCTCAGTTGGTTCTTTGCATGTGGGAAAAGGGACTTCAGGAAGGCAACATCAAGTCTAGGGAGTGCCACCGCTTAGAGAGTATGATTGTATTCATAGCCTGCATTTTTCCACTTTCAAGGATCCCAAGGCAGCGTACATGCTCTTCCTCCTCTCCATGTTATCCTCACAACAACCCTATGAGGTAGGTTAGGCTGAGAGCCAGTGATTAACCCAGAGTTTTGCAGTGAGCTTCATGGCTGAGTGGGGACTAGAATTCAGATCTTCTTCTTTCCTTTTGGCATCAGGGGAAAACCTTTTTATTTTCCCAGTATTTTAATTGTTAACTTGTTTTAGTTAGTGGATTTATATTTTAACATTGAATGCTGGGCAACTATTATTTTTCTTTTTGGGATTAATTTGTTTTAAACCATCCCAAGACATCTAAGTATGGGATGGTCTAGAAAAGTTTTAAATAAATAAATCCCAGTTCAGCATTCTAACCACCAGGCCACCTTCCTTCTCATATCATGGCTACTTACATGGGCCACGGATATCGCTAAGAAGCACAGGGTGTTTGTACAGCGCGTTTGGTGCAGGAGACCAGCTGCCCAGTGCAGAGGCAGAGATGAGCCAGGCTGGAACTGTGACCGGTCGTGGTGTGCCAGGGCAATTCCTTCTGCCTGGGAGTTTGGGGAACAAATGCCTCTTCCCATTTCATGCCCTCCGTATGGTGTTCTTGGGCTCCCGTCATGCATGCATTCATGGCAAGGGTGTTAACTATTTCTCAGCCTGAGGGTGAAATCCACTGCGTTCCAGTGGTGGCTGCAGCAAGAGTGGCAAGGCAAAAATAGCAGTGTATTTGGGCTCTTTTCACCAGTAGCAGAAGCCTTGGGAAAGACGTGCTCATCCCTTTATAGGGGAGAGGGGAGACACGAAAGCTGGGAACCTGCAAACCTGACCAGAGGCGAGGCCCTGGGAAAGGGTGTGGCCACCGAGTGAGCCCCGGAAGGGGTTTGGGACCCAAGCGGGCTGAATTTGGCCCCTGGGGCTGGCGTTCTGCACCCTGCTTCGTGAACACTGGGTCCTCACCCGTTCCGCTCTATGGCGAGCAGAGTAGTCCTTAAGTCACACTAGATGCGGCAAAGGATGCAAGGGAAACACTTGGTGAAAAGCTCCCACCTCCTTCCCACAGTCACCTCCACAACTATTACATCTCCAAAACAGCTCCTTTGGTCTTGGTGCTCAGAAAATCAGGTAAAAATGCCTAAGAATATTGTGGATTGTACGGGAGCCCAGTGTGGTCACTGGCAAGATACGGGAGTTCATTGCTTGCTCCAGCCCTTCCCCTAGTGGGTGTCTCCTGGTTCTACACTTCTGCTTCTTTCTGGTTGTATTATTCCCTGCTGAGGGAGGTCCTTTCCCTCTCTCTCTCTCTCTCTCTCTCTCCCTCTCCCTCTCCCTCTCCCTCTCCCTCTCCCTCTCCCTCTGTCTCTGTCTCTGTCTCTGTCTCTGTCACTGCAAACTGCACTGGGCATACATCAGAGCGCTTCCGGTTTTGGGCAAGACAGAGGAACAGGGAAGTACAAGAGTGCTTGCGCTTCCTCTCCTTCTGAAGCAGCCGGTGCGGCTTTTTCTTGCTGGCAGCCAAGGAGGAGATGAAGGTGCTTCTCAGCTGCAACACTACTGTGTTCAGACTGCAGAGGAGGATCTCTAAATGCAGGGTTTCCTTCTTGCAAAACATTCCCTGTATAGAGACAACAAGTTCTCAGGGAGAAGCCTTCTCCCTGACATGCTAGCTTTCTGTGTGCAGGGATCTTTTATTTATCTGCCTTCATATGCAGGAAATTCAGTCATGTGATCCCCCACTAACATTCTGTCCAGAAAATGAGGCCCAACTTCTCAACATGCCAGTTTGGAGGTGTGGAAGGGAGAGTCAGTTAAGAGTTGGTATACAGTTTCGTTATAAACACAGAAATTCTCTGACATGTTACTATCAGAAAGAAACTTGCTTGTGGATGCAAGAACATAACGCTACCCACAAGCTCTCACTTTTATTTCAAAACTTTCAAAGAGCATAATGTAAAGCTGTTTCTTTGGAAAGAAATTAATGTTTAACTTCTTATCTACATGCCCAGTCTGTGCTCCCCTGCCTTGATTCCATGCGGTCCAAAATCTTGGGTGCTGATTATGGATTGCGGGAGCAATGTTGATTAAAAACAAACATCTAACAATAATTCATTGTTTAACGAGGTAATGGGTCGCGTGCCTGTGGCTGGGTGTCCTGTACACATTTTGTGCGGTGCATGTTTTGGAAAAGCCAGGGCACAAAGGCTGTGCATGTGAAGACAGCTGAGTAACATAATGTGTGCTTTACTGGGTAACACCCTGAGATATTAGCTATTCTACCAGCTCTACAAAGGTTTTTCTTGGTTGCAAAAGAGCTGGGCTGCAGCATTTTCAGGAATCTCTTGCAATCCATGTCAGCAAAGCAAATGTTACTAGCTTCAAAATTGTCCCCATGGACCTGTGAAGACATATGCGTGCAAAGTTGCTTATTCTGGGCAGGGTTTTGAGTAGCTTTTTCTCTATGCAGGCTGAAACCATTGGGAGCCACTGCTGCTCAGGGGGAGAGAATGACTAGATTGTAATCCCCACTATTTGAACAGGGCTGGGAAGATTTTTGAAAAATTCTCCTTTAGCCATCTGGGTTGTGAATATGGAAAGATGGTTAACAGCTGCTGTCTCTCCCATATTTGTTTTTATGCTTTCCTTTGATCAAGACTTTGTTTATTCTGGGTTTATTGTTAGCCACCTTAATTATTTTATTTGCTGCATTTGCACACTACTCCATATCTAGGCGTGGTAAACAGGAAAAATCTAAAAACAGATAAACGAATAAAAACAACACATTCAAACAAGGTAGGATTAAAACCATGGCTGGTCCGTGGAAAGGACTTCCCAGAACGAAGAGGTCTTCTTCAGATGCCCAAAGCAACACACTGGTGTTGTCTACCTGACTTTCCAGGGAAGGGAACTCCATAGAAAGGGGGCCACCCCACTGAAGGATCTTCTCTTGGTGGCGCATGTGTGGAATCACCAGGACAATGTCCTTTAATGGCTTCCATGATGGGGAAGGTCCATAAGGGAATAGGCACTCGTTCAGGTATCTGGACCCAAGTGGTTCAGGGCTTCGACCGTTAGTGCTGAAACCCGAAATCTGGCTGGTAATGAATAGGCAGGCAGTGCAGTTAGTTGCCCTGACGAAGGAGGTGCGGGCTGCAAAGAGGCTGCCCCAGCGGTTGTCTTCTGCACCAGCTCCGGCTCCCAGAACAGCCCCGCAAAGCGCATCTCGCCGTAATCCAGTCTTAAGGCTGCTGGAGGCTGTATCGCTTTGGCCAGCCCCTCCCTGTCAGGAGCAACCGCAGCTAGTGTTCCCACTGGAGGTAAGGAAAGGTGCTCCCTGCGGTCACCATTGCCAGGGGCTCCAAGTGGTGGAGCCAAGAATACACCCAGACTGAGCGTCTCCTCTTGCAGAGGGAGCTGACCCCATCCAGAACAGGAAATGAGCCTCGCTCCTCGACTTGGGAGCCACTCCTCCACAGACCTTTGTCGCGCCAGGATTCCACTTCAGCTTGTTGGCCCTCATCCAGCCCAGGGCTGAGTCCAGACACTGTTCTATGACTTGCAGTCTCTCTGATTCAGTTGTCACTGCGAGGGAGATAGAGCTGAGCATCATCAGTGTACCCATAGCACTTGGCTCAGTATCCCTGAGGACTACTCCCAGTGGCTTCGCATGGATGCTCGATAGCTCTGGAACAGGGTGGTACCATCCAGAAGCCCACAGCTCAATTGGGTGGCTATTTTTGGGGCACTGGTGATCCCATTCTCGAACATGGACCTCACGGGGAAGACTGGGACGTATGAAGATGTCTTACACAGAGATAGCCCATGGGTCTGCTTTCTCCAGTCTCCCCCAACCTGGGGCCCTCCAGAAGTGTGAGATTACAACACCCATCCTCCCCAGCAGGCATGGCCAGTGCCTGCGCTCTACGATAAGCTACTTTCCCCTTCTTCGCAGCTTTAAGTTTGCTGACCTGTAGTCACCATGAGCACCTGCAGACATAAAGTCCTGAAAAAGTGGGTGAGATGGTCCAGAGGGGACTCTAAGAGGAAGGGAACAATTGCCCTGTGGCTTCCAGAACATCTTTCTTTCAGCAAACATCCACATTATTGTTGTAAAACTGGAGAATGGAATGAAGACAAGCCCCAGGAAGTCACTGTTAAAGTAACTTTGTCAGCTGGTAACAGTATAATGCAATGATCCCATTACTTTTGCATGTGGGGCACTCTGGCAGATGTGCCAACACACCCGCTGTGTCTACCACATGTGTTGGCAGATACACTAGGCTGGACGTCCTTGCAATCTGCTTCAGCTTTTCCAGCCCGCTGTCCCATCTTGCATCCTTCAAATTAGCAGGGATTTGAGAAGCAGCAACTTGGAGAGGCTAATCTGCCAGGCTCCACATTATTGTAATCCTGGACTGCATTTTAGATACAGCCAAAAGCTTCTGTAATCCTTAAAATACCCTTTCGCTCCCTTGATTGTGTTTTTAGCAAGTTGTTCGGCCAAGGAAAGCTGTTTCGCTAGCTAACTTCTCCTTCTGTAACTTGTTTTAAGAAGCACTTTTTTGGCCACCCCTCCCCACACTTCCCTGTTAATCACTTTGGTTTCATGCCCCATGGAAAAACTGTCTTCATTGCAAGATTCAGTGGACACTTCTTTTCACCCAGGTTTTCTCTCCAGTCTTATGTTGCAGGAAATATTTTTAATTAGTAGGTTTGAAGAAACACCTCCTAAATACTAAAAGAGAGAAAGCGTGAGATTGAGAGAGAACGAAAAGGACAAAAACTTACAGAAGTATAAAATGGATGTCTTTTCTGAAAGGTGATTTGTGGTTTGCAGATATATATGGAAAATGAATCCGTGCTCTTTCCATGTCATATTCCTGAGACCTGAATAGGGCTGTCCATATTTCATCCAGATAATGTATAACGTACATCAATGACATCACTGGTCAGCTGACTGGCTGGCATTTGCCTGTGGTCAGCTGACTGCAGTCAATACTGACAAAGATTCCATGTGGTCAAGAATGCTTAGTGCTGTAATGCCTAAAGTGCATGCCAGAAGAAATTGATTCTGCAGGTGGGAACTACAACAAAATGTTGCAGTATGAGAAGTGCTTCTCTCCTTTGTTCTGGCCAGCTAAACATTCCCCCTCCCTTTGGTTTTCTGTCCTCCCCACACCTCCGATCCAGTCAACAGTCATGCCCACTGATCATGCTTAGTCTTAATTGCGCTCCAGTGTGTGTGTGTTTCCCCTTTAAGGTTCCCTCCACCAAAGATTCTTCGTATTTCTGTAAACCTATATGAACACTGGAAATAGAGGACATGAGAATTAATAGCTCGTGTGAACACAAAAAAGTAATTATCCAGTAGTTATCCCCAGTCGTTGACCTGGTTCATGCAACACCACAAGCCATGATTTGAGTGCAGCTTGTTGTTGAACCATGGGTTCTGGTGTTGTGTGAACCCAACTGTGCCAACAAACCATGGTCTGTTAATCACAAACATCCCACACTTCACAACCCGATGGATTTTCTTTGTGGGTTGTTTGCGCTTGACAAGCCCTGGTTTGTTAGCGTGACTAGGTTCGGACAACGCAACAAACTATGATTCAACAAGAACTCGTGATTCAGTGACAACCCATACAGAGCCAGTACTCTGGCTTACTGTGTTGTGTGAATCAAAACTTCGTGAGATTTACTGCACTGGCCTTACTTCTACTGGTGGAGGACTGTGTGTGTGGGTGTGCGTTGGCATGCGTGTGTGTGCTGTAATAAACTTCCCAAAGAGCTTCAGCTGTGGGGCAGGGTAGAAATGAAATAAATAATCTTAACTAGAATGAGTCTTTGCTTTGGGTACGGTGAGATAATCTACCCTTAGAAGAGGCGTAGATTTTTGTCTGTCTTTCCTTCCTCCAATCACCTCCAGAACTTCTGAGGGTGTGGAACCCTCTACCAGCCTTCCCTAATCTGGATTCATGCAGATTGTTCGGCACTCAAGGCCCATCAGCCCCCACCAACGTGCCCAAACTTTGGGGATAATGAGAGATACCAGCTGAAATTCTGGAGAGAAACCAGCACTGGAAAAGGCCTGTTAAAGTCTGTTTGGCATTGACATGCAAACATGATGATTTAACATCACTCAGCAATAAAATCCCAACAGGAGCAAGTAGTTTTTATGCCCCTCTAAAGCAAGATAAAGTTGAATCCAATTTCACATTTCTTGGGGATGGGAAGAGTTCTGCACTATATCACCCAACTCCTGTTGAGTCCCCTCTCCTTCTCCAGTCTTTTGCTAACCCCCTCCAGGTGCTGTTAGTGTTGGACAGACACTCGCCCTCTTTGGAGGCAGAATGTGCTCTCTGTGACGGCCAGCGGAGACCCCAGGCAGACGGTTCTCTTTGATACCATCTGCTGGACAAAACTGTCCACAAGACAGGAATCCACACCTGGAGGTGAGCAAAGCACCTTTCCCCCCTTTTAAGGAAAACTGGCTAATCCACAAGGGAAAAGAGGGTTGCATCCAATTAAACACTCAAGAAAGCAACGATAGAAGACCTGAAAGCTTGCACATACATTCATAGGCTCAACTCTTGAAGTATGTTACCTCCAAGGAAGGTGCAAGAGGAGAAAAGCAAGTGTGTCAGTTGTGCACTTGCAATATGCATCTCTGTTTTTCAGTCTATCTTGAATCAGTGCTGCCTCATGAGTAGTACTGATTCATGAATACCGTTAACCGGCATACCTGCCTCCACCTGGTGATCCCCAGAGGTGTTGGACTGCAACCGCAGCATCCCCAACACATCTGGAAACGCTGTTATAGCAGGCTGCTTGATGCAGAGCAGTCCCTTCCTACCAGCCCCCAGCACCATGCCAGGCAGCTCTGGGTTTGGACGGAGGAAGCTGTCCAGAAAAGGCCAGAAGGCATTTTTCCCCTTCCCCAACTGTGGGCCACCTCCTTACAGGAGAGGTTGCCATCTGCTGCATTTGAGAATGATGCTGAGCCACTCTGGCCGTTATTGGTTCGACCCCAGCTGGGTTTAGATATGCCTAAATGCCACCTCCGAGCCACAGTTTGTTTGAATAATCCTCATTGGGAGCTGCTTGGCTGCAGGGAACTGCACTGACCCCTGTGGTGCTTCAGCTGCCTGGCTAATTTTCAAACAAACCTGCTGCCCGTATTTTTCTTGATACTGTCCTAGTGCCTGCTGTTCTGTGCTGCTGGGGCCCCCTCCCCTCTGCCTGGCATTTGCACGGACAATTTGCAAGCTTGCTGTTCGAACGAGCCATGAGCAGGGATGGAGGGCCACCGGGCAGGATCTGAAAGGGTTTTTCTGTGTGTGGAAAATGGAGCTTATGGGTAAGTCTGCCCAGTCCTCTTGTTTTGCTGTCCTGCTGTAATCAGCTTCCCAAGCCAAGTCTGAGAGGGAGTCTGCTTAAATAGAAACTGTTTCTTGACGGCTGTGGAGCAAAGCACCCGCTAGGTGGCAAGAGCTGAACAGAGAGATCGTGTGTCTTACTTTCTCGCACCTCGCCTGGTGTGCCTCAGCTGTGGGATTCATCTTGTTAGCAGCCTACCGAGCTGGGGTTCTCATGGACAGAGGGTTGGGCTAGGATCAGGGAAGCCCAGGTTCAAATCTGCACTCAGCCATTGGACAACATGTCTCTGTCTTGGCTCAGCCTAACAGGGCTGTCAAAAGGTTAAAAGCGACACCTCTGCTCCTCTGATCTCTTTGGATGGAGGTCAGGTACAGAGAACATAAATATAATAAAAGGGCATACAGCTGCATGACGCTGGGTCAGACAATAAGAAGTCGTGTTTCAGTGTTTCTTGTTAAATCACAGAACTGTCAAGTTGGAAGGGGCCTTGGAAGTCTTCTATTCCAACTCCCTGTCCAGTGCAGGCTGCAACTACCCTATGGCTGGAGGTTAGCTATCCAGCCTCCATCTACACAGTCCCAGTGAAAGACAGTCCGGCAGTTGGGATGTTTCTCTTGAACTGTTGCCAGAACTTGGCTCCTTGTTGGTTCCAGTCCTTAGTTCTTTTTCCAGAGCTAAGTTGGGTCCATCTACTGCTCAACACTTAGGATGCCTCCTTGTAATCTTCTCTAAGAAATATGTGCTTAGTTCTTTGGGACTTTCTTCATAGGCCTTGGTTTCTAAACCCCGCTCTGCAAATGCCAGTCTGGTTTGTCAGCATTCTTGGATCATAGCTATGCAGAGAGCAATTTCACCATTTTACCAATGGATAAGACAGACAGCCTTGCAGGATGGCATTCAGAGGATCTTTACTGCTGAAATGAATTTGAGTCCAGGTCTTGCAAATGCATGTCCATGGTCTTGTCCAGTGAGGAGAAAACAATAATGGCATGGCTTTGCCACAGTATGCTTTTAAAACACAATAATAAACGTGTCCTTTCCCTGGAGACCTAGCATGTAAATTTTCCGCTCCTTACCAATAACAGCTCCCAAGACGCTGACAATGAAAGCAGTAGAAAGCTCGTTTTTAAATGTATAGCCAAAAAGTTTTACTTATTTTGCAAGGTGCATTAATGTTTTACCCATTAATAATAAGAGTTTCGCTTCCTTTTCTCAGACCTGTGTTCACCATGTTTGCCCTACCAGCTCTTCTCTTTCTCCTCTGGACCGCAAAGGGCGTTCTCCCCTCTCGTACCTATGGGAAGCCAACCTGGCCAGCTTACAATGTCCCAGTTGTGTTGCCACAATTAACTATTAATTTGGACAAGCCACAGTTCGATGCCAAAGCAAGGCTGGAAGTGGTGTCCCCATGTGGCCCATCTTGCCACAAGCATATCCCACTACCAACTTACGAAGAGGTGAAAGACTACCTGTCCTATGAGACGTTGTACTCCAATGGTTCTCGCACTGAGACTGAAGTTGGCATATACATCGTTACTGGAGGCAATTCAGGGGCAAAGAGCCGATCTCGGACAAAGAGGCAAATCTATGGTTATGACACCAGGTTTAGTATTTTTGGCAAGGACTTCTTGCTCAACTACCCTTTTTCCACTTCTGTGAAGTTGTCCACAGGTTGCACAGGGACGCTGGTGGCTGAAAAGCATGTCTTAACAGCAGCTCACTGCATCCATGATGGCAAGAGTTACGTCAAGGGAGCCAAGAAGCTACGGGTGGGATTCCTGAGGTCCAGGCTGAAAGACGGCAGCAAGGGGGCAAACATCAGTAGCTCTTCAGAGCCAGAGAAGATGAAATTCCAGTGGATCCGAGTGAAACGGACACACGTTCCCAAAGGATGGATCAAAGGGAATGCGAATGACATTGGTATGGATTATGACTATGCTCTGTTGGAGCTCAAGAAACCTCACAAGCGAAAATTCATGAAAATAGGTGTGAGTCCGCTAGCACGGCAGCTGCCCGGTGGGAGGATCCATTTCTCAGGCTATGACAACGATCGGCCAGGAAATCTGGTGTACCGCTTCTGCGATGTCAAAGATGAAACCTACGATCTCTTGTATCAGCAGTGCGACGCTCAGCCCGGGGCCAGTGGTTCCGGTGTCTATGTGCGGATGTGGAAGAGACAGAACCATAAATGGGAACGTAAAATTATTGGGATATTTTCTGGGCATCAGTGGGTTGACACCAATGGTTCTCCCCAGGATTTCAATGTGGCTGTTCGCATCACACCCCTCAAATATGCACAGATCTGTTACTGGATCACGGGCAACTATCAAGACTGCCGGGATGGGTAAAGATGATGAACAAGATAGTCAGGGTCCACAATTTTATAATTACCTGGGTGCAGGAATGGATGGGGAGGTTGGCCAATTTGCGAAGGTAATTCATGTTAGATAATAAGCACAGCTTTGTATTTGGCAAAGATGGCCAGGCTGGCCCTCCACACTCGGGAGCGCTGGAAGGCACTTCTCGCCCTGCCCTTGCTCCATAACTCGACTTCACCTGTTAGCTTCTCTGTGCCCATCTTATGGCATGGCCTTCCTCCTTTTGTCTGTCTCTCCGTGGCGGAGAGTTGAAGCGGCACAGGATGTCTGCATTTGACTGTTGCAACCTGCCCTGGGGTGGATCAGCACCTGTCCATGTTCCGTGCTGGTAGGCTAGCCCTCCAGTCAGTCGTGAAGCATGGTGCTGGTAAGGGGTGTTGGTGCGGAATTCTTCCATGCAACATCACTTCGCTTGACTGGTGACCTGTGCAACCTGCCCTGGGGTGGATCAGGACCCCTTGGTGCCCAATGCTGATTGGCTAGCCCTCATATCAATCATAAAACAGTGTTGGTAGGGTGTGCACCATAGTAAGGATGGCTATGTGAGATCCCTGCATGCTACTTTTCACCTCTGGACTGGTGCATACTTTCTTGTAGTCCCATGTAAATCAAGAGAGGGCAGGGCGTGTTTTCATCCTGCTGTGTCTGCTTTTAGCAGCAAGAATAGAAAAGAAGAAAAACCTTCAACTGCTGCTCCTGTGTAGGAGATAATGGGAGAGCTACCACTCCTGAATGCTTGCAGTGAGTTGAGTTCAAGCTGAAGAAGTACTTTCACCTAAAACCTTTCTGGCTTCTGGTTCAAGAAGCTATTACATTCAGAGCTCAGTGTGCGTCATGATTCTAGGAATGTAGATTAAGTGCAGAACATCGTATTAGCTGCAGGAATTTAGTCTCCTAACAATCTCAGGGTAATTTTAGCAGTGGGTCCATCACAGAAACGCAGACACTAAATTCTGGTCCTACGTACAGCCTTCGGCTCTTCTTCTGGACCGAGCTCAAGGGAAACCTCTTCTTGTGGTTTGCAGCCGAAGCCAGTCTTGTGCGGTGCTGACTGGCAACCACACAGCCATTTTGCCACTTATTGGAGCAAGGCTGTGCAAGGTGCAGATTGGCTTGTCCTTGTCTTAGTAACACCTTGTTCCAGTCTAAAAATAGATTTTCTAAGGTAAAATATGCCTTCAAATGTGTTTAAAACGTTTGTTAAAAGTGAAACATAACCGCAAACAAAGCCTTCCTAAAGTGTGAGAGAGGTAAAAAGAGGAAGGGACACGTGGGATGCAATCCAGGCAGCTGTTGTTCATGTGGTGGAAAAATCCACACTTCCTGTCTGTATACGAGGTATAACCTCAGCAGGCATTTCAAAAACAAAGCAAGTTTCCAGTCCTTGTGGATGCAGGCGTATGTTGGAAAGCGACATTTCAGGACGGAAAGAAGCCCAGGGGTTAGAGAGAGGCTTCAGAGCTCTGCATTGCTTGCTTTTCCTCCCCAGAATAGAATAATGCATTGAGCAATTAAGGGAAAAGTGTATTTTGCTTAATTATGCAGATGGCAGAATTCGGCTTCTGGGTCCAAATTCCCCATCTGGCCCTTCATGCTTCCTCATCCTGGTCCCAACTCCTTTGCCTCAACAGCTGATACTTTGGTCATTTCCCAGCTTTTCTGCAGGTTTTTCCCCCCATTCAGAAAACTTTATTCCTGGCTTAGTTCTTGGCACTAAGAAATTTAAGCTGAAATAGGATGGCGGTTAAGGTCCCTGCTTTTACTTTTGGTCCATCCAACACTGAAATGCAACCCCTGCTGACTTCTCAGAAACGGACTTGGGCCTTCAGAAAAAGAATTGGACTGCACCCTTGCAGTTGTGATTTCCAGGAGTACATTTACCTGAGCTTAAACTGCCCCAGTGCTGTTTTCCATGTGAGAAATCCATACATGCATCACCCCCTGCCCTCATTCCTGTTTTTGTTGTGTGGTCTTCTCTTTCCTAACTTTTCCAGTGTTCCTTAACACCTGGAACACAGGCTAGAATGTTACAAAAACATCACATTAGCAATACAGATGGGAAGTAGGTTTGAGAAGAAGATGGCGAAGACCTGTCTGTCCAGAGTTTGGCGACCTGGTTTCACACTGTTCTTACAGAACACACGGTGCTCCTGAGAGGTCAACTCCTGTCTTGCTATGCAACACTGGAATGGTCATTTTGCATCAGGAATGAAGTCCTTTGGGGAAGTCTCTGAAATGGTCTGTTGTCCATGACAATGTCTTGTCTTTCCAGCTACCACTGGCTGGTTGAGCCTCCTTCAGTGCTTCACAAACAGAGAGTTTCTCTGATGGATTTTGCCCCTGTAACCAGTTCAGATCATGGTTTAGAGGAGTGGAGTTGGTTCCATCTTCCATCTGCTCATTGCCCCATGTTCTGTGGGACAGTGGTCCCTGGGATTAGACTACAATGGCAATACAAGCTAGCGTAAACCTTGCTTTACAAGCAGGTCAGTCCATGGTTTCTGATTATGCCTTGTGCTGAACTATCACAAACCACGGTTTGCCATGCTGTGTTATGAAGGCTCATCGTCTGAACTGAATTAAAGCTCCTGGAAGACAATGTTTCTCTTTCTGCCTTAGTGTCATTCAAGGTGATGGAGGAACTTGGAGTCTGAGACACTTTCTTGTCCCCCTGAAGCTTCCAAAGCTGGGCATGATGTGAGAAGCAAGACCCACAATCCCTGAATCCTCTTACGTACCAGCAGACTTGGCCAGGGGAGTGGTCTTTTCCGCTGTATGGAAAACTGCGGCAATGTAGAAGAGCTCGCCAAGCTTCCCATCTATGTGGGTCCCTAGGGAGGCCTCGGCACTCTGCATATTACATGCCACGCTCTATAGGTCTGGCAAACGAGACTGTGGACAAGAGTAAACATATACCAAGAGATGCAGATTTGCCTATTGTTTAGAGGTTGCAGCATTAAGCTTTCATTCTTGCTGTGTGTGTGTGTGTGTGTGTGTGTGTGTGTGTGTGTGAGAGAGAGAGAGAGAGAGAGAGAGAGAGAGAGGTGCAGAAGATGTCTGAGAACATGGAGATGCAGCACAGAACAGAGCCAGAAGGGCAGCTGTGTGCCCACGGGATGTCCCATGGAGCTGCATTTTCTTGCCAGAGTGGACAAAACCCAAATCAGCTGAATTAGAATCCGTCTGTGGAGCTCTTCCCCACCCTGTGCTTCATATGCAGATTCAAAAAAAAAAAAAAAACCCTTTCCACCCTATTGAAGTCTCTAGGGTAGTAATTTGACTCTGGGATGGTGCTTTATGTTTTCTTTGCTTCCCCTTTGGAACACCACAACCACCTGGTGATACACCAGGCATAGCTTTTACACACCGTGGGAGCTGTTCTTTCCTGATGCATGTGTAGTTACTAAAGCTTTAAAGGGATACGCAGAAAATCCTTTTTGTGTGTTCGACCAAAAAAGAAAAAGCCCAAACGTCTGCCTCCCTTCGTTGTAGACACCTGATTTGGGGGGGGGGGGGGTTGCTGGGGCGTGTCTATTTTTGAATGTATCACCTTCAATTGAGAGCGTATATGAAACTTTGGCACAGAGAATCTTGTACATACTTAGACGCATTTGCCAGAAATGGAAACATTAATTGTAATTCTACTTCTTTTGTAAGGATGTTAAATACAACACAGTTTTATCAGCCTCCATGGTGATGCTGCTTTGTTGGGTGTTCGTTCCTTCGCCATGCTCTTGTAGAAGCCCGAAGATCGTTTTGGGTACTTCTTACCCACCAAGCTCCTGCCTATCTACCCACCAAGGAGTGGGAAGCCCTTAAGGAGAGAATTCTAGAAACTGCACAATCGCCCAGACTTCTCTCCCTCTGCAGCAAAGACTGGACAATGCATGGTCAGCCCTGCTTTTAGGTACTTCCCTGACCCTCCCTCTCAGAGGCACCTGTTCTCACAACCTCTTTCATGGGCAGGAAGGTCATCGATGGCTACAGCTCCTGAGAGTGATATATGACCTCCAGTACGGGCGGCAGCCTGCCTCTGCATCCTCGTTTCTGGAGAACATGAATAGGAGGCTGGGATTGTTCTGTCCTGCTAATGGAGGCATCTGGTGGCCCGCTCTGGTAACAGGCTTTGGCCTGCTCCAGCAGGGTTCATCCTACACTTTTGGGTGACACAGAAAGGCTTGGGCCCAGTGGGGTCATGCAGAGGGAGGGAGGGAGGGATTGAAAGGAGAAGGCAGCCATTACCTGTCAGGGGAACCAAGCATTGCATGCAGCTCGAGCGAGCAGTATAAAGGAAACTTCATAAAGAGCAGCCAGCTGCTGAGCAGCCAACAGCTTCTGCCTGATCTATTGTAGTGCCCTTTTCAGCAGGGTGCAGCACTTGGTTGGACTTGCTTCCAGGCATGCATGCATAGGATGGCGCCTTCTCTTTCTCCCTGTGTTTAAGAAGTGGGTGCCAAACGTGTAGGCACCCACACACACACACTTGCAGCTCCGTCCTATGGCAGGCAAGTGTGACTCGGATTCCAGTGACTTAGAATTTGGCCTTTGGGGGCCATCCAGAGCCTGTTAGTGTCACTAACCAAAAGACACAGTTCCATATTTCCTTCACAAATTGTTTTGTAAGAAGAAGCAAAGATGAAAGAAGAGTGGAAAAACACGGGAGGATTAACTGTGGAAGACATTGCCCTCTGGACGCTCCAGGAAATTCTACCGGTGAATCCTCATTTCAGCTTGATGACAACCTGGAAAAGCACCTGGAGGCACCAGCCTAATCCTCACCGGACTTGTTCCTGGGCTGTACTGCAGGAGGCAGGCAGACATTCACATGCTGGAATGCATTTTTGTAGATTTAAAAAAATCCCTGCACATAGAAATCTAGACAATTCCTTACATGCTGGCTTTCTTTGTGCAGGATGGGCTTTGTATGGTGGAGCATTTCATCCCTGCGGCTTGCATCATCCATCTGAAGAGGTGCCCCATAAACCCAGCTGGAGCACCCCATGAGAACCAAGAAGGCCATGCTCTCGAGGTAGTGCCAGTTCCAGGCTGATGTACTCAAGGCTCTCGGTTTTCCCAAGGAATGCGTGGGGAAGAGCTAGAAACTGAATCACAAGAGCAGGGTGATTTTGTGCTCCTCTGCACATTATTTTAGCACCATAAATTTGGGATGTGTGAGGAATCCTGCAAGGGGGTGAAAAATCAGATAGATTTTCAAAATTCACTCCCCTGGATTCCAGTTAATTTGACCCATGTTGGCAGTGACTCCTTGTTTTCTACTTGAATTTTTTCCCAGATGAACAGTTTTTCCTTCTAAACACTAAGGAAATTTGCACATATTCTATGCCTGCAAATCAGGAGCTGGAAACCATGTAGTTCTAGGGTGATCTGTGCAAATCATGCTACCCCAATGTAATTTCTGCCTTCCAAATGGTGCCAGTCCTGTGTTTTATGCAAATTGCATGGATTTGCAAAATGTGCGCAAATTGCACAAAAGCAGCTATTTCCACGAATTTCCTTAGGGGTTTCTAAATAAAAAGTACAAAGCTCATCTGAGAGATGAAGCTCTACAGACCACACCCCACCTGGACTTGGCCTGCTTCTGAACATCAGATCAGAAGTAGGCAGGAAGCCTACCAAATGACCTGGGCTTCCCAGCTTTGGCACATCCCCACCATGAATCCACAAACTCTCTGTACTTAAGCTTCCAGGGGCAGCCCTGAATTGTTCCCACTTGAACTTTTCTTGAGAGCAAACACGATACACACTTGAAATTCCTCTCTGGGTTGCAATCAGTGCTTCTTGAAGGCAACAGGGCATATAGACATGCTGTCCTTGGGAGCAGAAGCTTTCAGTGCTGGAAAAAGCAAGCAAAGACAGCTGGGTTGACCCAACCAGAGGAGGCTGCTGTGCAGCTGAGCATTTGGGGAGACCCAAGTGGATCTCCGCCCTTTCCTAGGATGGAAAAGGAGGAAGAAAGTGCTGTATGTAGAACTCCTAAACAAGCAGAAAGATGGCTTGTTTGCCTCTGGCCAAACCGTGCCAGTTGTTGTCCTACTTCTGTGACACCTTGGACCTATTTTATTTATTAAATTTATATCCCGCCTTTGTCCCATTGTGGAACTCAGGGTGGTAACATGCAGTCTCCAGGTGGTCTCCCCTCCAAGTTCAGGCCAGCCCGAGCCCTGCTTAGCTTCAACATGACAAGGCCTTCAGACCATACTCTGGACTTACACAGCAGTTATATGTTTACCTCCAAAGTGTTTATACTGCTTCTTTAAAAAAACAGCCAAACAAGAAAAAAGCCTAACTCTGAAGTTGTGTACAAAAATAAATATATAAGACCAATGAAACACATTTCTTTAAAACAAGTAATCAGGATATCATTCAACAGTAAAATTAAGTGGTCAGATGGAAATAATGCTTGAAAGAAGAACTGACCCACCCAAAAGAGTGGAGGCCTAGGAACCTCAAGGGTTCCCAGGGTTCTCGCTTGAGTTCCCAACCTCAAGCAAGAACCTCAAGCTCTTGGAAGTGCTGAGGTTGCAACAGAGAAGACCCTGCTTCTTGTGGTGGCTAATTTGGCCCCTGCAGCAGGGGGAATATGTAGGGTCTTGACTTGCAGAACTCAAGTGCTGGGAGCAAGGCCGGCCCTGTTATTGGACCGAGTGTGGCAGCTGCTTCAGGACTTGGAAGCAGGGGTGGAGCCAAGTTGCCAGAGGACAGTGTTGTCATGGCCTGGCCTGTAACCCCTGCTGCCCTTAGCTGTAGCGAAGAATGCAGTCCCTCTTGGGTGGTCTGGTTGGCTTCCGTGCATAGAATTGGTTGGACTGAGGAGATCATGTCCGGGCTGAGACATGTTCAGTGGCCCAAAGAATGACAGCCAGGAGATCAAAGCCAAGGAACAACCTGGAGTTAGAATTGAGGCCAAGGCAGGGATTACTAGCCAGGAGAAGGAAGGCAGAGCCTTAGGCAGAATGCTTAGTGTCTGCATTCATCTGTATATCTGAATCTAATTCAGCTAAATGAATAAATAAATATTTGCAGATATCCTGGGGGTGGGGTGGGTTCTCTTAGTCTTTCTGACAGCAGAGGAGAATTTCCCCATTTTTTAATTTTTAAATATACATCAGTTTGAACATGCCCATAGTAATGAATTTATTTATTTAAAGCATTTCTATTGTATCCAATTACAGAAAGTCTCAGGACAGTCCTACAGTAGAAAGCACAGCATCACATCTTGTATAAAAACTCAATTAAAATAGCAATTAAACCTTGAAATGATGGGAAAATAAGAAAAGGTTTTGGCCAGGTGCCAAAAAGAATAAAGTGGTGGTGCCAGGTGCACCTATCTGGGAGCTTATTCCATAAATGGGGTGCCACCGCAGAGAAGGCCCTTCTCTGGGTAGCCACTATCCTAGCCTCCTTCAAAGAGGGCTCCCAAAGAAGGACCTTCAAGCCAGATCTTAAGGGGCAGGCAGTCACACAGGGAAGGAGATGCCCCTTCAGATAGGAGAGAAATACATACAAAATGCAAAATACTAGCAATTACACATAAGATTCAGCAGAAGGGAGCCAGGGAGCCCAGTAAGTACCGCTTTGTACATGGCATCTATATGCAGATACAACAGCACCTGCTTATCACATACCTCTGATAAAAAGGCCCACAAGAGGGCAGGGAAAGGCTGCAAACCTGGCACAGCCCCTGGTCCACGTGTCCCAAAGAGATAAGGCTGTGGCTCTGAAAACCACTTGGAGACGTACCTGGAATGACAGCAAGGATCATGGGAACAGAAAACAGCATGTCCTAGGAGTGATGATTGTTAGAGCTTTGGATAAGAAGAAAGATTAGAAAGATGTCAGGTGTTACCCTGATTTAGTTTCTTGTTTCCTTCCACTGAAAGATTTTGCTCCCTCTTCCACTGAAACCCGAACTGGCAAGTGATGCTTCCCATCCCCACCAAAAAGTCCACGTCCAAGGTGGCTGGCTCAGCGTGCGATTCTTGCGTGCCCTGCTAATCGTCAGTCTGCCACAGGGGTCAGTGGGGATCAGCGCCATTTTTGCATTTGCAAATGTCCAGAGTTCTGCTTAACAGGTTGCTCCTTAAAAGACTCTTTACATGTAGGAGTAATTCACAGGAAGTCAGAGTCCCACATCCAGCCCACTAATAGCTAATGCAAATGAAGAGGGCTGAAAAAGGAGATAAAACGGGGTCAGTGAGAAACCAAAGGGGAACGTCACTGTTTGCAGGAGTAAGAAAGCATCTTTCAGAACTACAGCCCTTAATGAGAGAAGCCTTCTAACATAGCTATCGGCAAGAACCAAGCAGGTGCATGGAATGTTGGACGGGGGCTGGAAAAGAAACAGGAAAACGACAACAACAAGCCTGCCTAGAAGATGGTCTCTGCGGGAGAAAGAAGGTACAGACTTCCATCAAACCTGGGATTCTTTTTATTATTGGCTAGAGAAACAGGACTATGCATAGACTTAAACATGTTTATAGTTTAACAAAAAGGAAAAATGTGGGGGGCTGACCCAGTAAGTATGATGTTTTCGATGATTAATACTTCTTAGTTTCTTTTTGTTAGGTATATTAAGAATAAAACCTATTCCAAAAAAAAAAAAAAAAAAAAAAACCAACACCCTGCCTAGTAGGAATGTTGTTGTTGTTGCTAGTTGCAAAGTCGTGTCCAACCCATTGTGACCCCATGGACAACATTCCTCCAGGCCTTCCTGTCCTCCACCATCCCCCGGAGTCCACCCAAGCCCACACCCACCACCCCAGTGACCCCATCCAGCCACCTCTTTCTCTGCCATCCCTTCCTCCTTTTGCCGTCAATCGTTCCCAGCATCAGGCTCTTCTCCAGGGAGTCCTTCCTTCTCATTAGGTGGCCAAATTATTTGAGTGTCATTTTCAGGATCTGGCCTTCTAAAGAGCAGTCAGGGCTGATCTCCTCTAGGACTGACCAGTTAGATCACCTTGGGGTCCAAGGGACTCGCAGGAGTCTCCTCCAGCACCACAATTCAAAGGCCTCAGTCCTTCGGCGCTCAGCCTTCCTTCTGGTCCAGCTTTCACAGCCATACATTGCAACTGGGAAAACCATAGCCTTGACTATACGCACTTTTGTCGGCAGGGTGATGGCTCTGCTTTTTAGTATGCTGTTTAGATTTGCCATAGCTTTCCTCCCCAGGAGCAAGCGTCTTTTAATTTCTTGGCTGCAGTCCCCATCTGCGGTGATCTTGGAGCCCAGAAAAATAAAATCTTTCACTACCTCCATTTCTTCCCCATCTATTTGCCAGGAAGTGAGAGGACCAGATGCCATGATCTTAGTTTTCTTAATGTTGAGTTTCGAGCCAACTTTTGCGCTCTCCTCCTTCACCTGCATCAAGAGGCTCTTTAGTTCCTCTTCACTTTCTGCCATGAGAGTGGTACCATCTGCATATCTGAGGTTGTTGATACTTCTCCCAGCAATCTTAATTCCAACTGGTGATTCATCTAGCCCCGCCTTTCATGCTCTGCATATAAGTTAAATAGGCAGGGTGACAGTATACAGCCTTGCCAAACTCCTTTCTCAATTTTGAACCAGTCAGTGGTTCCATGTCCAGTTCTCACTGTTGCTTCTTGACTCGCATGAAGGTTTCTCAAGAGACAAATAAGATGGTCTGGTGCTCCCATCTCTTTAAGAACGTGCCACAAATTGTGGCAAGAAGGAATGTGTAGCTAGAAAACCCCAGCGTGAACACACATCGCATGTCCTACTTATCCAAAACAACATTATGCAGGAATTGCCTCTCTATCCCTAGACAGGTGTCCAGGCGGCAACATGGAAATGCTGAGCTCCATTTGCCTTTGATCTTGGCGCACCTTGGATGCACCACTGAATCCGACCTACTACATGGGACTCACTTTTTTTAAAAAGTTACATTTACTAAATATGTCTTTTTAAAATTTCTTTTGGGGGTTTGCTGCATGAGGTGCACTCCTGTTTCCTTGCTCGTGGCCACTTCACCAAAGGTTCAGCTTCTGGATTCTTTGCAGGAATAAGAAGGGCAGCTTTGCATGTATTTTTGTGTGTGGTTCATTACACAACCACAAGGTGGTGCTGTGATATAGTGAACTTGTAGAAATAAACATTTGTTTTAGTACAGTTTAAAGTGTCAGCCATATAATAGCTTGTTTTCCTTACTCTACAAAAAGAACAGAAATGCTAGGAAACCCTGGATGTTGTGTAAAGTGCCCTGTGAGTCAGCAATTGTAAGTAAACAATAAATGCCTCATGTAGAGAACTGCTTAGGTCTATAATGGGCCATAAGCCTCTTGTTTTGCTGTCAATAAAGTTTGCTTAAATTGGTGCTCATGTGGAAGATGGAGTGCATAGGTGGGAAAAAGAAGATATCCTACAAGAAAAAGAAGATATCCTTCAAAATGTTCATGTTTGATAGGAGATACAAGGCTTGATGTCAGCCTTCCAGCTCCCTCTCCAGGATATATTAAGATAGATATGTGCTTAATTAACAATGTATAAGATAAATAGACTCAACTTCGGGTTTGTGACTGGCCCAAAGTCATTCAGCTTCATGGTCCAAGAACTTCATGGCTGAGTGGACACTAGAACCCAGAACTGCCAGGTCCCCAGTCCAGCACTCTGACCAGCACGCTGCACTGGCCCATATGATGTGGAAGGGAGAATTGGTCACTGGAGAAGAAGAATGCCTGGATGCTTGCAGGCATTCCTCCTCCTGATCCTCCTTCCATCTCTCAGGCACTTGGTCGCTCATGTATTGGCCCTCTGGGCTGGTAGCACTGCTGCTTAATGCCAGGTTAGTCCATAAGGATACAAAGCCCTTCCATGGTTTGATTGATGAGCATAGATCTGTGAGGGAGCCCAACTGAGTCCGGGGTGGTTGAGCTGGGTCGGGTGCCCATCTCTACCTAAGTTCTTCACGTAGCACCAACTAAGCCCACTTCTCCCAGAATATTTTCTTCCATGTTGTTACCTCAGAATCTGAATCAGATTGGGAAGAAAAAGTGGGGTTGGACTTCTTAGCTGAAATCCCATCATGGCCTTGACATCATTTTCCGAAGGGAAATTTCTGGGATGCAGCTTGGGGGCGTTCTGCAGAAAGGGGTTCCGGTGGCAACCACTAGAAAACATCATGCAGCTGTCCCAACCTGAAGTCCTCCAGATTTCTTGGGCCGCAACTCCGAGCATTCCTGGCCACCGGCCCTGCTTTCTGAGGCTGATGGAAGTTGCTGTAAGGCTCTAGGCACTAGGTTAGGGAAGGCTGAGTTATTTCATCTTTTTAATTCTTTTTGCAGCCTGTCTACAGTGAGGAAGAAAAAAGATAGACGCCGCGATGGGAAAATACAGAGGAGGCTGAGAGAGGAACATGCCATTAGCTGGAAGCCCTGTACAATTCAGTGGACAAGGAAGTGCAACTGGGAAACACGCACCTCTTAGGGAAGCTTGTGACTGCCAGATGCATAGGCTGTGGAATTAAAATTAGGATCCACTGAGCCCCACGAGGCTTCGTAGCAGTGATAAAGGGGTCTGGAATATTTCAAGGAGGACAAACCGTGGGGGAGAGGAAGCACCCAGCTCTGGCAATCTTTCCTCATTAGCCTTATCTCAACCTCTCTGTCCCTTCCTTTTAAGTTCTCTTGTTCTACTTGCACTACAGCATTCAATGATGCCTTTTGATAAAAAGCTCTGTCCTTGAGTGTATTTATAGCCCCATTAACCTTAATCACCTTAAATGGTAATTGCTTTTCTATCAACCTCTCCTTCCTGATGGCTGCCAGTTTGTCTACAATTATGATTCTTTCTTTCCGGAGTAGAAAAAGGGGTCTTTGCAGCGTGAAGCTATCCATTCCTGAACCATCTATGAAAGCGAGAGTCACCTTGCCTACTTTTTCTATGCTTTTGTCAGCTCCATGGCAGACCAAATCGAAAAGGTGAAGCTCTTCCTGGCAAAAGGGAAATGGTCTCCCTGTTGGATTTCTCCGGGGGAGACAGGCCTAAGGCCAGTTCACCTGGCATGGGATCTGTGCCGCCAATTGTTCCATAGCCACGCTGCCCCACTGGCTTTTGCACACGCGTGGCAAACATCCATCGGGAGGTGGACTGCAGGCAAACATGCCGTGTATGAGATTCTCAGTCATGCGAGGGCCTTTGCACATACAGACACACACACACACACATGCTGGGTGCACCAGTGTCCTCTGTGCATGGCATTGTAGCTGGGACGACGCTGGAGTGGTGGGGCTGTGTGGCAAAGACCACCGCGTTGAGAGTTGGGATTCCTCCCTGGACACATTCGCAGGCCACACCCTTCTTGCAAAATGTACTTCATGGACCAAAGCGTTTTCCAGATGCACAAACACCTGGAATGAATCTCTGAGCCTGCACAGAGTGGTTTGTTTAACCCAATCTAGTATTCACCTCCAAAAACTCTCCTCATGAGCATGCCTTCAGGAGGCATCTTCTGAAAATGGGCATGCTTCCTCTCTGTGTGCCTGTCCTCTAACTGGGCCACCCTCCTCTGCTGCCACCGCATCATCGGGTCTGGAGTTGTGTCCACCTTGCCTGAATCTAACAAACTCCCCTGCTCCAAGTCCCTTCCCACCAACTGTACATCTTTGTTCTTCCCAGAGTTAGACCTTGAGATAACCAAGATTTAAGAAAGGTGCAGGTAAATTAGAAAGGGTCCAGAGGAGGGCAACAAAAATGATCCAGGGTTTGGAAGCACTGCCCTGTGAGGAGAGGCTGAGGGAACTGGGCATGTTCAGCCTTGAGAAGGGAAGACTGAGGGGGGACAAGATATCCCTCTAGAAGTACCTCAAAGGCTGTCACAGAGAGGAAGGTCAAGGTCTCTTCTTGCTCAGGCCAGAGTGTAGGACACGGAATAATCAATTCAAGCTGCGACAACCCAGATTCAGGCTGGGCATCAGGAAAAGCTTCCTCAGAGCAATGCGACAGTGGGACAGTTGCCTAGACAGGTGGTGGGCTCTCCCTCACTTGTCACAAAGTCATGCCCGACCCATCACGACCCCATGGCCTACATTCCTCCAAGCTCTCCTGTCCTCTCCCACACTAGAGGCATTCAAGGAGAACCTGGACAGCCACCTGAGTGGGATGGTGCAACCTGGTGTCCTGCAACAGCAGGGGGTTGGACTCGGTGGCCTTCATGACCCTTCCCAACTCTACTATTCTGTGATTCTATGATTCTATAAGTGTCTCCACTTCCCTCGTCTCAATGTCTGGGAATGGCCCAGATTGCCTGGCTCCCTCCCATGGCTCTCCCCCTTCCCCTTCTGATTCTGATTCTTCCGGAGACCAGCCAGCAGCCCTTGAGAACATGTGCCCAAGGCAGTCCTCTTTCTCATTTCCAACACCTGGTTCGTTAAAGCAAAGGTACATTCTGCATGTCCAGATAGTGCCACTGTTCTTCCTCAAGCTGAAAAGTGAATTATGTTGTTGACTGGTATTGATCACCTGGAACTGATCTCTTGGAATTCTGCCTTCAGAATGTCTCCACATGAATTACAAGGTAAAAAGAAACAAAACTGGATTAGCTAAGTTATATGTGAGCCGAGTCAGACCACAGGTCCACTTAGATCAATATTATTTATGGTATTGTCTGTTTTGCAGCTGGGGGAAATACTGCCAAAGCAAAGAAAACCACCAAAAGGTTGAAAGGAAGTGGGGAAAACTGGGAAGGGGCAGGCAGTTGGATTGGGGCCCCTAGTGGGCTGGAACAGGCCTGAGGATCTACAGCCTTGGTTTTCAGGCACTGACACTAGTTCTCCAGGGCCTTGGAAGAGATCTTCTTCAGCCCCTACCTGGACATTCCAGGGATTGGTCTTGGGATCCTCTTCATGAAGAGTGGGTGTTCTGCCACCAGCCTGGGTCTCATCTCCCACAAGCATCATGGAAATTAATGTGGTAAACCCATCAACAATTATTGAGGAGTGAGCATGATTGAACTCAGTAGAACTTACACCTTAGTACAGATGTCAAGGGTAGTGCAGGCCATCTACCAGTGGCTAAAAATAAGGTGTAGGAAAAATAACTCATGGGCAATAAATCGAATTAATCAGACTTCTTGTTACCTTGACAAGCTCCTACTTCTCTGGGCACCTAGAGATGGGGTTCTTTTGAGGATGGCAAGAACTTGGTCATCTTAACCCCAGCACATTTGCTTTATAAATCAATGCTCATAGACTATATTTTAAACCATGGTCCTCAAACTATGCCCTGAGGGCCGGATCCAACCCGCCATGCCCATTTGGACCCACTGCCGCCCACCCTGCCCCATGCGCAAGGAGGCAGTGGTTTGCTCGCTTGGAGAAAACGATCTCCAAGCGAGCGAGCCACTGCCTCGTGCGCCTGCCCCCGTCTGAGCCTTGCCTCACCTTGCCTTGCCAAGTGCCCCGGCCCTGCCTCAGTGCACATGCCCACGTGCGCCACCCCCACACCAGCCCGCGCGCACTGCCGGCACCACCTTCCCAGCCCGTGCCCAGCACTGGCAGGTTTCAACTGGCCCCCTGGTGAAAAAGTTTGAGGACCCCTGTTTTAAACATGTACTCAGCACTGAAAAAGTGCAATGAAGCAGATTCTAGAAAGAAATCGATATGACGGAGTTTGTGGACAAAAGTTGCAAGAGGGAGAAAAAGCAAGACAATGCGCGGCACGTACATTACCAGTGCAGGTTTCTGCTGGATGAAGCGACTTCCTGCCAGAATCCATCCCTCTGATCCCTTCCCTCTGACTTGGCAGTGCTCAAACACAGCATGTGATGCCATTGCTTAAAGTTCTCACACTCCCCTCCTGCAGTCCCTGAATTCTTGCTCTGCATTGCTGTTACATTTCATGATCTTTGCGCAGGTTGGAGGCACGGTCCCAACTCGTCTTGGGGTTTTGACTTGTCTTCAGCAAGAACTAGTCGGGTAGGCATATTTCTTCTAAGGTTCTTTTTCCCCAGGTTAAGCTTCCTTCCAGTAAAGGCAAAAGCAAACTTTGGTTCAGACAGCCATTTTTGCTATGTCTCTTTGATATGACTGATAGGGTCACTGCCTTAAAACTGCCCACTATGGCTATTCAGCATGGATGGGTCCATATTCAGAGGCAATATATAGCCAAGAACCCAATGCTGGGGGAAATCAAGAAAAATACCATAATCATAGCTTTCTGAAGCATGCCAGAGGAGAACTACTGGTGGGTCTGGAGACAAAACCTGTGAAGAAAGACCGAAGCAGCTTGATATGCATCTTGGAGAAGACATGCTGTGGTAGCCATCCTCAAACCTTTGCATGGCTCTGCATACATCGAGAAAACTGTGTGGGTCCTGTTAGGTAGCTGATTCTCCTCTAGAAAAGCAGAACATTTTTCCAAAATTGTTACCTTCTCACATTTCTAGGGCTCCCCCTGGTGGAATCTTTTTCTTGACTTTGGTAGAACTTTGCATTTCCCTGCTAAAGGAGCATCCAGGCAGACCCACCCTCTCCCTCTCCCTCCCTCCCTCCCTCCCTCCCTCCCTCTGTGTGTGTGTGTGTGTGTGTGTGTGTGTGTGTGTGTGTGTGTGTGTGTGTAGGGAGAGGGATAGAGAGATCGAGGTGCTAAATTTACTTAACTGGGATCATCTTTTTTCTCTGGCTGCCTTTTAGCTTCTAGGCTCAATTTTCCAAGTGCTGGCTTTTGTCTTGAAAGATGCAAAGGCTGATGAAAACTCACCGGAAGAAGAGTGCAGGTAGGGAAGCATACCTGCAAAACTGCACAAACCCTCCTATCCTTTTCCCTTTCAGGTGAGAGAGGACAACCTTGGGTGGCCAACACTGCATCCAGGATGCTGGGACAGCCTCACCTGCCCTGTGGCAAAAACCCACCTTGCTTCCCTCCTATTGCATTGCTGACGTGCCCTGGAGCCTGTGGCTGGTGCATCCCTCCATTCTGCTTGGGGGTTTTTGGGGCAGCATGAGGGAAATGCATCTGGGCAAGAATCTGGAGCACTGGGGCAAATTCCAGCCAGCCAATATTGTTCTGGAAGGCCTGGGGCTTCTATCCATTGTCTCCTCGATTCTGCCGAAACGTGCGTTTTGTTCGCAGTGTATAGATGCACGGCAAAACTTGCGCCTAGGAGTACTGCGACTGCTACTGCCACCACTGCTAGCTCATCGGCACAACTGAGTATTTATTAAGCACCTAGAAAGTGGAAAGCACCAGGGCAATCCTGTACATGTCTGCTCAGAATTAACTCCAGTTGAGGTCAACGGGGCTTGCTCTCAAATCAGTGGGCAAAGGACTCCCTCCCAGATCCAGGGGGCAGCTGCTAAACTGCCCAGTATTTGTGAATTAAATCTTCCCTGTGACTGGTACAGAGGCATCCCTGACATGCTCCCTGTGTACACTTCCCGCACGATCACTTACATACCCTGGTCTTCTGTACACATGCACAAAGGCAAGTCCCAAATAAGTGGGGCCACCCAGAATAGCCCCTGCAGGATAGCAGGAAGAGGAACCGATTTCTGAATGATGCTTGGTGGCAGCAACAAGGGATTCACTGCATGCTGCTCCCTCTCGGAGGTGGGAAGGAGAGTGGTGTGCCAAGGGAAACTGGAGGGAGATTGCGGGTTCCCTTTAGCACGGTCCTTGCTAGCCCACGTGGTTCAGAAGGTTCTCGGTTTGAGCCCAGGCAGGGCTAGGAAACA